GTGCTGTCCTTTTCATGATTTTGGTTGAATGATGGAAAGTAGTTATTTATAATGTGCAGAGTTTGGCCACTTTACCGTATAGTCTACTTATGGCACTCTAACTCCAAGAGTAGAAATATAAGCAGTTTGTATTTAGCAAGCATTTTATTACATTTCAGGCCAATACCCCTATGTTAGGACTAAGGTGACACCAGGGTTAAAGCATTTGTGCTTAAAGTAAAAAGTCACATTAATGAGGAAGTATAAAGCATAGTGGGGGTGGGAAAAAACGATTTTTGCCTCAAGATAAAGGGAGCAGTAATCCCATCCTGATTTATTTGCATTTAACCAATGATAGGGACCTGGATGCCATAGGACTCTGGGTTATTTTACTGTGTAACTTGTGAACACACAGAACTAAGTACTCCTGGAAGAGCTGTTTTCCTAGTTGCCAAAAAATGAAGCAAGCTTGAAGGAGAGTCTTAACCACAACTAGTACCAATGTATGTATTAAGTCAGAAAGCCCAATGAAACAAGTTCTTACTGAATTTTTGCAATGTCTATATTCAGTACTGTGCTAGGTACTCAAAGCAGATGGTGACAAAACATGCCCACAACTTGGTGGTGGAGATAAATCCACAAGAGTTAGGATTAGCATCAGGACATAGGGTAACTGAAATTGTGTAGCACCTACCTGCAGGACTCAGGGAAGCCTTGTGGGCTGGCCTTGTAGAGGACAGGAATTGGGCCTTTATACATGCATGAATGGATTACATTTGGGTAAATTAACTTAAAGCATTTTTTATAATTCCAGGAGCATTATCCCCCAGCTTGCTACACAATTTTTCCTCCTCCATGGGAGTTAAGCCATCAGTTTATTCAGTTCGTGCCCATCAGCAGAGTTGATTTTTATTTTATTTTTTAAAATATTTTTTTAATTTTCCAATTACAATTGACATACAATATATTAGTTTTAGGTATATAACAGACTAGGCAGTTATTAACTTACTAGTGACCTGGTACATGAAATTCATGCACATTAAAAGGGAATTAATTAGAGGAAATATTTTAATACAGTGGGGCCTTGATTTACGAGTGTCCTGACTAACGAGTTTTTTGAGATACCAGCTGTCTTCTCGGCCGATTTTGCATGAGTGATAGGGTAATGAGTTACGAGCTCTACGAGTCAGTCTCAGAACAAAGGTAACCTCGTTAGTCCAGGCCCCCACTGTATTGCTATTTGCCATTTCTCTATAATAGAAGTGAATAGAAGTGTCAGAGATGAAAGAAAATTAGTAAAATGTATATGAAAATTCTCTTCCTGTCAGAGTCTGGGGCACGCCTCCGGACCCAGAGTCAAGGCCCCGCCCACCCGCACCTCCAAATCACATGAGACCCAGACCCTGCCGGCCTCACCCCCGTCAAGCCCCTCCAGGTGGGGGGCGCGGCCTCAGGTCACCTGGCCCGGCGCCAGGGCGGGGGGGGCGTGGCCTCAGGTCCCACGGCCTGGCGCTGGGGTGTGGGGCACCGCCTTGAGCTCAGCCGTCAAGCTCCGCCGGGCGGGGGACGTGGCCTGAGGTCCCCCGTCAAGCCCTGCTGGGAGGGGGGCACAGCTTGAGGTTCCCCAGCCTGGCGCTGGGCGGGGGGGGGGCGCAGCCTGAGATCCCCTGTCAAGCCCCACCAGGCGGGGGGCGCAGCCTCAGGTCCCCTGCCCTGGCCCAGCGCCATGCAGCCTCAGGTGCCTGCTGATTGCTCGTTGAAGGCTCATTACGGGAACTCGGCCTCTGCTGTGGGTGCAGCCATCTTGTGTTACGGAATGCCTGCCTCCGCTGTGGGTGCAGCCGTTTTGTTATGGTGTGGTGGTCAATTTGCATATTCCCTATTTATTAGATAGGATGGTACAATTACTCCAATAAGTCTAGTGACACCATACATAGTTATTACAATATTATTGCAGAGTTGATTTTTAAAGCAGTAATTTTAGCATAATATAAAAGTTTAGAAGAATAAAAACAGGTATCTGAGAGTGGAGTAAAGAGTTAGAATTTGTCTTTTTTTCACCTGCTTCCTAGTTTGGGGAACTATCAGAAACACTCAAGTGTAAGTTTTATTGTTCCCTTTGCCTATAAGAAAATGTATTGTAATTGGGAAAAACTGACTTTATATATATTTTAAATATATTTTTATTGGGTTTTTTCTTTTTTTGTTTTTTTTGAGAGAGAGAGAGAGAAACATTGATATGAGAGAGAAACATCTATCAATTGCCTCCTGTACTCACCATGAAAGGGACCGAACCCGAAACCTGGGCATGTGCCTTGACCAGGAATCAAACTGGCAACCCTTTGGTGCACGGGAAGACATTCAACCACTGAGCCACACCAGCCAGGGCAAAATTGACTTTATTTTTCATATGAAAGCTTTGCATTGCTTTTAAACAATTTTTTCTAAGTGTAAATTAATTAGAATTCATGTATCACTAGTTTAGCCAGTGTTTGAAATTTAATCTAAGTGATTCTAGGGAAGTAATTCTAGGGAAGAATTACTTATAAGTCTTAGTTTCATCATCTATAAATGGGAATAATAATAGTATCTACTTTACAGGGGTATTGTGAGGATTAAACTACTTAGAATAGTGCTTTGTGTATAATAAATACCAGGTAAGTGTTAGTTTGTATTATTTTGAACCATCCTATATAATAAAGCCTAATATGCAAAGTGTCCGATTGTTCGTTCGACCAGTCACTATGACACACACTGACCACCAGGTGGCAGACGCTCCGACCGGTAGGTTAGCTTGCTGCTGGGGTCCGACTGATTAGGACTAGGCTAGACGGGCCGGACACACCCTGAAGCCCTCCTGCAGTCCCTCCCTGGCCCCAATCGTGCACCAAGGGACCCTACCGGTGCACAAATCCGTGCACCAGGCCTCTAGTAGATAATAATCATCTTATAGGGAAGATACCATTTGCATATGCTAGTTATACAAACCATGTCTAGGACAATGTAATTGGGGGAGATGACAGCATTTTATACATTTCCTAATTTCAGGGGGGCATTGGATTAGGAATCAAGTACAAATGTTGTTTTCCCAATTCTAAGAAAGTGTAACTTTTAAAGGAGTATTTCTACTCCTTTTAAATCCCAGTGTTTCTAACAGTTTAAAAAGCAGTAATAAGCCTGGCTGGTATGGCTCACTGGGTGAGTGTCAACCTATGAACCAGGAGGTCACAGTTCGATTTCCAGTCAGGGTATATGCCTGGGTTGCGGGCTCGATACCCAGTGTGGGCCATGCAGGAGGCAGCCGATCAATGATTCTCTTTCATCGTTGGTGTTTCCATCTCTCTCTCCATCTCCCTCCCTGTCTGAAATCAACAAAAATATATTTAAAACAAAACACTTTGTGTTGTCATAAAATTTTTCTATATTATCATTGTTCTTTTACCTTTTTTCACACATTAGCATTCCATAAATTAAAGCTCATTTGAATAAAAGTTGTCATTAGGGAAAAGGCCACAAGTGTCTTGGGAGTTTCTGTAATCTCCACCCTTAGTTCACCTAACCGTAGCAATAATCTGGCTGTGAGTTATTTAAAACTTTTTTTAAATAGCCATTTACAATATATGTACTTCTATGTTCATTGCAGCATTATTCACAATAGCCAAAATATGCAACCTGTGTCCATCAATTGAGCAGTGGATAAAAAAAGTTGTGGTACAGCCCTGGCTAATGTTGTTCAGGGGTTAGAGTGTTGGCCTGTGCACCGAAGGGTCTCTGGTTCAATTCCCTTTCAA